CCACTAGTAGGTACGGTGTCACGATTTGCGCTCGGCCCTGCTGCTCTGAGAGTTTGATTGCAACGGAAGTTAACTTAAAATTTCAGTTTCTGATTGGACCCCAGGCAGGCTTTTCAAAATAAAAGCGGACCTCCGGTTTATGTTTGATCCATGTTTCTCTCCTGCGACTTGAAAAATGTAAAACTTTGTGTTAATTGATTTGCTAAAGGAAATCATGTATCTGAAAATAAATTAAAACATATTATGTGGGCAAAAAATTATGTAAACTACATATGTGCTACCTCAATCAAAATTGCTGACATTTGACATTTAACAAATGACATTTAACAAATCTTTCAGATTACATAAACAATACCTTACCAGGTACTTCTTTCACTTCAGGATGACACAGGGACACCTATAAGACCAATTTTAACTGAGGTTGCACATATGTGCTTTACAGGACTTTTTGCCCACACAATATATTTTTTTCAGATACATAATGTCGTTTTGCAAATTAAAACCCTCTATGGCATGGCGTTGCCCTCGGGCAACAAACCACATTTCTGTACCTCACGTTGCTCCTTTATTTTATTTTTTGGGGGGAATGATTTAAAATACCTCCAGACATATTTTTGTCCAAATAAAGAGGCATTGAGGTTCATGTGACCTTTTACTTAGAAGAGGAGCAGTCCTTTTTATGAAGCGGAGGTGCATGCTACACCTTGCCTCCTACTTGTAAGTTATACATCACTTTTCTTCATGTTTAAATTTGGGTCACTCTAACTAAAAATATTTTCATATCTGTGAGTATGTAAAGAAGCATTATAGATCATTTCAAGACAATTTTTTTTAATAATTTATATGCTAAAACTGTGGTTTTTTTTGTTTGTTGCCTCAGGGCAACATTGCGCAGTTATAGGGCCCTTTTGCCCAGACAATATTATTCTAATGCGATGATATGCAATTGATTACAAAATAATTATTAAAGGCCTTTTTTTTTACTTTATTATTGACTAACAGCAACAGGAGATGGATGCAAGATCATTTCATGGACAAAATGTGCATGGTTCATAAGCTGGGGTCATTCCCAATGAAAACATGAGGATCCACTGTATTTCATTGTTTGTTTATCCTCAAAACTGACTTCAGTCCCAAAGGGTGAAGAGCTGGTCATCAATGAACAAATGGCCCCATTCCAAGGCAGGTAAAGACTGAAGCAATACCTGCTAAACCCAAATATACGGGTCTGCAGGGTACTTCATATGGCTGGTGCAGATGGTGTTCCTTACAACTTGAAAATCTACACAGGGCGAGCCGTACCACCACCAAATCTACCAGATATGGGAGCTGGTGGAAATGTTGTCCTTTGCTTGGCTCAAATTCTACCAAAAAAATCAGAACTACAAACTCTTAAAAAAAGAACCTGCAGCCCTAAGTCCTGTCACTGATGTGAATCTGGTCGCTGCAACCCATAGATAATCAGATAAACAGATGGTGATTCCCAGGTACACCAATAATCAAGTGCCAAAAATGTGATACACACTTTTTTTTACATCAGCAAGCAATTCCTTCCTGATGTTTAACATATAATAGAGAAAAAGACTGATTTCAACATCCTTAGTGATTCTAACTCTGCCAAACATACACGTACAAACACACAAATGCTCGTTTTAGTAATTTGTGCAAATGTACCATTCATTAATGAAAGTTGTTTATTTTATATTTGGTGAGTTGGAACCATGTCTGATTTATTTTTGTCAAAAAAGGTATTTTTATGAATATAGTTTTTGTTTGATTTGTATTTCATTTCTCATAATCACTGTAGAAAACTTGGCGTTTTAGACCCCTTGTAGCGCAATGTTGCCCTGAGGCAACAAACCCAAATCCGGTTCCGGGAGGTGTCGGGGTCCGATTTTATGATTGATATGTAATTAGGGACCAACAAGCTCCCAAAGAATGCAAGAAAATATTTTTTCCCCAAAAAAAACAAAAAGTCATGCCATAGAGGGTTAAAACTTTCACTGTCCTAAGATGAGACAGATAATCTCTGAAAAAATAATCGATCTCCTCCCTGTTCTGCATAATTACTCCG